ATTGTGACATTGTTTCACTCTTTATATTAAAAATAATAGAAATAATGTTAATTGCATGATTTTCCCTATTATTTCTAGATGGGATAAATGTATAGGAAGTTATTGAAAGAAAGCAATAGCATTTTTTAAAAATTATTTTATTGAGGTGGTATTGGCTTATAACATTATATAAATTTCTGGTGTACGTTATTATATATCAGTTTCTGTATAGACTGCATTGTGTTCACCACCAATAGTCTAGTTTTCATCCATCACAATTCATATGTGCCCCTTTACCCCTTTTGCCCTCCCCCTACCCCCTTCCCTTCTGGTAACCACTAATCTGTTCTCCTTATCTATGTGTTTGTTTATATTCTACATGTGAGTGAAATTACACGGTATTTATCTTTCTCTGACTTATTTTGCTCAGCATAATACCCTCAAGGTCCATCCATATTGTCTAAAATGGCACAATTTTGTCTTTTTTGTGGCTGAGTAGTATTCCATTGTATATGTTTACCACATCTTCTTTATCCATTCATCTGATGGGCTCTTGGGTTGCTTCCACAACTTGGCTGCAGTAGCATTTAATATATATCCCAGGTCACCATTTATTTGATACTCTCTTGCGTTGGGCTTGGAATTTAAAATATTTAAAATTCCACTGGCTATTAAATACTCAATCTGAATATTACTAGATCAGAATTTCTGGACCTCCCTGTGAAAGACAGACTTTCTTCATTAAGAAGCAACAATCAAACAGGCTGCAGTGACTTTTCTTGGAACTCAGAGGATGTGTAGAAGGAGACCTTCCTTCGACCAGAGAGTCAATGCCCTCTGGAAATGTCCAGAATTTGCCCCCTTCATTCAGCTTTTCCTGCCAGCCCTACTCTCAAATACTCCAAAGCTACAAGATGGTGAAGAGCTCTCATGGACCATTTGAGGGTTGTGCTGAGCTGCATTGTTATATTTATTTTTATTGATGTGACCAACTCAATAGCTCTGTAGTCACGGAGAGTCTATGATTTGACTTCAGAACACCAATGTGGAAGTCCGTTCTCTGCCACTAACACAGCCTGACCTTGGACAAAATGCTTAACCCTTCTGAGTTCTAGCTTCCTAACACACAAGAAGAGAGTAATGACTGCTGTCCTGCCTAACCTCCACAGTTTATTGACGAGCTCAGTACCATTATTTGTATGAAAATGTTTGTAAGCCGCAAAATGTTGGTAAGCAGAAAACGCTACACAACTGTAGGTTAGTTCTCCCTCTCTTTCTCTCTCTTGTTTAGTTGTCTTACACATCAAATTCCATCCTTGGGTAAATAAATTGCACCAAATGGTCTCTTTCATAAGAAATACCCTTCAAGAGCACAGTCTCATCTTCCTCCTCAGTTTTTGGCCCTAAGATATATAACCATATTTGAAGGAAAGCAAACTTTTTCATTTCCTTTCAACTTAACATATATATTTTGGCTGAAGTCCCTCATGCACCTTTATCTGTATCCATGACTTCTCTCTTACATAATCTTCCCCCTCATTCCCAACATCCCCCAGCCATGGCTACTGTAGAAGAGCCTCCTCCCTAAATCTGCTTCTCAGGAGATGGAGTTAAATGGACTAATCATAGCCTCTCTTCTAAACCCATCCTCATGAGACCTTCTACTAGGCCTTAGTTTTAGTGCTAAGATATAAGAATTGAATCAGTGTGAGTGATTTGGAATCCTGGGGAAATGGAGGCAAATTTCTCTGCCATCCTGCGCTTCCTTCTCCTCATCTACACAGTAGTGATAATGGTATTTAATTGTAGGTTTGTTGGCAAATTATATAAGAAGGAGCATGAGAGGAGTAACACATAGGAAGTCACAATATTGTTGTTATTATTAAGGAAAAAAAAAATCTCTCTTTTGCTAGTACAGGTGAAATCGGAATTTACTTTTGACATCTTCCTATTGTCTATGTTTTATTTCTCATCATTTTCATCCGATATGGCTCCTTAAGCTACCTCAGTTTTTTGTTGTTGTTGTCATTTTTTGGCTTTGATTAAGAATAAGTATGATTTTGCTTAGCTTCTGGTACATAAAAGTTCCAAGACAACTTAGTATAACAAAATGAACATTGAGCTAAAAGTCATGAGAAGCTGCTTTTACTGTTTATGCACTCCTTTAAATCAAAAGAACAAGATGTAAACTATTTTTTTTATGGCATCTCCTGGGCTTCAGGCTCCTTGGTGCCTTAGCAAACATGAAAGAGGCTGATTTACAATCACTTTGGGAAAATTGCCTGTAGAATTATGAGGACAGGAAATGAAAAAAAGTGCAGCACACACCCCCGGACATTCCACACAGCATGTAGAATAAACAAACAGGCCCAAAAAGGAAACCAAAAGCTCTTGGTCTTACGTTGAGTAGTACCATGAATGGCCTTTGGGAGGGCATATACTAAAGATGATGAAGTGCTGGAAAAATCCTTCTAGGGGGTGAAATTGACCCTGATTAAAGATAATCCCTTCCCCCTTTTGTCTAAAGGATGCTGAGTACTTTCAATTTAGGTAAATTCTGTTACCTGCATCAATGTTATGAAAGAGGGGTACCATATTACAGACCTCTGCCTCTCAAACCTTAACAGGAATCAGACTTCTTGGGGATCTGGTTGGGATGTGGATATTGATTCAGAAAATCTGGGTGGGGCCTGAGATTCTGGATCCCTCATGAGCTCCTGAGTGGTGCAGATGCTGCTGCTCTGCAGGCCATAGTTGGTTTTCAGTCATCTGTTTCAACAAAATCATTGGTGGTGGTGTTCTTGTCCTTAGCTATACGGAACAGGTGGTTTTCAACTCAGATGATTTTGGTCCTACGGAAATCAGGCACTGTGTGGAGACATTTTTGATCTTCACGACTCGGGGGGTACTATAGACATCATGTGGAAAGGCCCAGGGATGCTGCTAAACACCCTACAATGCACAGGATAGCCGCTCATAACAAAGAATTTTCTGACCCAAAATGTCAATAGCGCCAAAGTTGAGAAATTCTGATGTAGAACTACTGTTTTGGTGTATCTCTCATATAAAAAATAATCTGTTGAATGTGTTGAAATAAATAAATTTGTGAGGAAAGGGTAGGCTTATGTACTGTTTAGTTTGGAGTAGAGAGTGAACAGTGTTTAAAACTGTCTTCAAATATATGAAAGGCAATTATGCAGAAGATGGTAACCAGCTGCTCTTCATCACTCTTGAAGAATGAACAGGAAATGTACATAAATGGACCTGTGCATCCCATCCATTCGTTTTCTGTATCTTCCACGCCAGCCAGGCAAATCTCTCTATGATCTTGCAACCATATTTGTCCCGTCCTGTGTCTTATTACTTGCAAAGAGCCTCCCAAATCGTTGGGATGCGTTTTCTGCTCACTGCCAAGTTGCATCTCCCCCACTCCTTAAAAATCTAACTTTCCATCTCCATAAAGTCTTCCTTAACTAAGGTGAAATAGTTACCAGTTCATGTCTAACTACAACTGGCACACTTCCTTTTTTGGCATGTTATCTTTTATTCTACAAATATATTTTTGGCCATCTGTGTACAAGAAGCTGTGCTAGAGAAGGGATAAGGAGGATGAGTAAGAGAGTCCCTGCTTTTAAGAATTTTCCAATCTTGGAAAAAAAATTCTCACACATAACTAAAATGTAGATAGTATTTAATAATTATTTCTATGAGATATTCTTTTTAAAAAATTAAAGAGGAGGGTTTAGTAGTTAAAAGATTATTTCCAGGTGGGGAGATCAAGGAAGACTTTATAAATAGGTATACATAAGTGTCTTTTTTTCATAAATAGGTATACATAAGTATCTTTTTTTGAAGAACAAATTTTCTCTAAGTTATGTACAATTCTGTGCATAAAAGAAGCACTTAATATTGTTACCAAAATTTGAAGATTATGAATTAAAGAATGGAATGAATTAGAGTCTAGATTTAGACTGTATTTATGGAAGAGTTTAAAGTGAGTAAGGAAAGAGAATTTTTCAGGGTTATGTGTGGCTATGTTGTGGTTTTAACAAAGGAGACTGAATTTAATCACCTCTGTACCTTATGATGCTCTGTGATTTTATATGGGAGTGCTCTTTGGGAAGAATTCTTAGTTACGTCTAGGAGGCGAATACTTTGGAACTTCACAAATACACTTTAAAAACCAGTACCAAAGATGGAATTTGGCACCATCTATTTGCATGAATTTGGCACCATCCAGAACCCTTTTAGGAGAAAGTCTCACTTATAACAGATTTCCATTACCTGAACTTCAAGGAAATTGAAGAGAATTAACCCTCATTGAATATCTAGTATGTGCCAGGCATTGAGTAAACTCTAGATATATCATCTGATTTAATCTCAACAGCAACCTGTGAGGTTATCACCACCAACAACACTATAAGGAGACTTTAGTGTATTAGTATAAGCTTCCACCTACTGCTCGATTCAGAGAGGGAAGCAGAGAAAATCTCAGGCCTGCATAGGAAGCCACCTCTGAGTGGAGACAATCAGCTCGCCTTCCCATTGGAAGCCTCAAGGAGAAAGCTTCCTTTCCTGAGGCTTTAAATGGTGATACTTGAATCCTCTGTAGTCAAAACGGGAAAATTAAGCTCTTTACATTTCATTAGTGGCCATAGTTTGCTGTAGGACTCTCTACTGGAAAATTCTCTGCAACTGTATTAGTCATACGTGAGCATGAATTTCTGCCAGCTCTTTCCCAGACATTTGAAAATCATTAGTTCTGGGAATGTTACAGATACTGTATTACTATGGAATTTTTCAAATTTTAGTATTTATATTCTTTAAAGTCATTATGTTGATTTTCAGTCAGCAATATGGTTAATATCATAGGTCTTTCTTGTAGGTCTCAATCTTGGAGCATCATTGCTCTTTTCAATAAGAGCACAGACTTCAATGGTAACCTCAAGAATGCCTTTCATAATTCGAAACATGATGGAATCTTAGTTAACTCTGTGTAACTGGACTTTGTTTTCTCAAAGTTGTTCTAGGCTTCTGCGTATCATTCAATGTTGATGTGAAAAATTCAATGACTTTCAGTGGCCCGGTGGAGGACATGTTTGGATATACTGTTCAGCAATATGAAAATGAAGAAGGAAAATGGTAAGCCAGTGGATTTTGTTGCTATTGTTTAGTTTTCTTACAAGGTAACGGAAAATATTATTTGGCTACAGTTTGTTTTATGAATGAGAGTTCAACAGAATGAATCATTTATGGTAGAAAATGCAGTCTAATCATTGGGTAATGGAAACTGACAATGTAAAAAAAGAAAAATTTCTTGGCAACATTATAGGAAGTGGTTAGTGATTTCTGTTAAGCCTGGGTTGACCTCAAAGAAGGTCCTCATCCAAAATAGTCATTGTTCTGTAATTATGTTGTTCTGGCAGGAGTTCTTTAATTGTTCTCATTTTAGAGTAGCTGAAATTTAGTAGGCGAGACTGAAAAGGCAGATGAGATGTTGTCCTAAAAGGGTTAATATTGCTTCTACAATATAATATTGGGCTTGTATTTTTGGTGTCTTACTGACCTTCTGAATTTGGTCTACTACTTAGAATGAACCTTGCCGGATTTTTTTTATACACTTTTAAACCCTTTTACTATTGGTTAAGTTCACTTAGGTATGAATTTAAAGCATATTTAACTTGTTGAAAATTACACAAGATGAACATTAGAGCTCTTTTGCTTTCTATTTAGCATAATTTTTAGTAAGTGTAAGTCTTTTTTTAAATTGGATCTTGTAGTAAAAAGAGACCAAGAGTTAGTTAAATTTTGCTTCAGTTTAATAACTTAAACTAGACAAGTTCATTTTTTAGTAACTACAATAATAAACAAAAGTGGATTTATATCTACTTGGAAAACAATGATCTTTCACTCTACTCTATTTCATAGACGGAAAGATGTGGCTGTTCGATATTTTGTTTTATCTTTTAGACTTGATTAATTTGATAATAGTCCCCTAATTACTATCAAAAGTAAAAATTTGAGGTCTTGTATTTTCTAAGTGCAAATATTGCATTCTAGGTATAAACTAGAATTTGGGGAGGTGCTTTACTCTTCTACTCTCCTTACAAATATCTCAGATGAGAAATCTAATAATAGAGTATGAGGTTTTAAATCCTCTTTCCTTCCATCCTATACACCCCCTCCCCCTTTTTAAGGTTAAATGGGTTAAGTCTTCCCTCTATACACCAATTTTTCTTTTTTTAAGCATTATGCCTACAATTCAGGGAGCTCTACCTCTGGGAGAATAATGGTGAGTGGGCCAAATGGTCAAGCTTCTCTTTGTGCATAAGATATAATAAACTGAAACAGTACCTGTTTTTCTAAAGGAACTCAACTTTTACATAAAGCACATATAAAACTTAATTTTCACTAATTCATAATAGTTACATAAATTTTAAAGAGGTATATAATAAATAGCAAGCCTTAAATCACCTATTTAAAATGAAGTATCTTTTTAAAGGATAGTCAAATATTGTTAAAATATTTTATGAGAGCCTGGTTTTCATTTTCTGATATGAGGAAAACCTGTAAGCTTCCTCCTTATCCAGTCCTGTCTCTCTGATTTTAGGGCAGTCTGATATCAGAAGTCCTTAATTATCTGAGTGAATTCTGGTGCAACAGAGTAAGAAGGGGTTCCTATTTCCTGTTAGGAGCCTTAGTGCACCCATTTGATCTCTTCAGTCTTTTTCTGTCCCTTATTATAAGAGCCCATCGTATTGTGAGATTTCCACCCTCTAAATTCTCTATTTCAAGGCAACAGAAGGCAAAGAAATGGGAAACTGAGAAATCAGGCCTCAAAATGGAAAACAGATAAGAGAGAGAAGTTGACATATTAAGGGAAATGTCTGCAGAGCAAGGACTTTTGGTGCCCACTTGAAAGCCTGTGCATTGCCCGGCATCTAGCATGAGGCATTAAACATTATATGCACTCAATGATTATTTGTTGGCTGAGCAACTGCATCTAGTTTATTTCCCTCTTATCACAGATGAAAAAACAGACACATAAAAGTGACTCTTCTATGCCTATTATCAAAAAAACAAAAGATAACAAGTGTTGGCAATGTTATAAAGAAAAGAGAACATTTGTGCACTGTTGGTGGGAATGCAAATTGATGCAACCACTATGGAAAACAGTATAGAGTTTCCTCAAAAAAATTAAAAATAGAACTACCATATGATCCAGCAGTCCCACTTCTGGGTAGATAGCCAGAGGAAATGAAATCAGGATCTCAAAGAGATATCTGCACTCCCATCTTCATTGCAGCATTATTCACAATAGCCAAGATGTGAAAGTAATCTAAATGTCCGTTGACAGATGAATGGATAAAGAAGATGTGTTATATACATACAATGGAATATTATTCAGCCTTAAAAAAGAAGGAAATCTTGACATTTGTGACAACATGGATGAACCTGGAGGAAGTTATGCTAAGTAAAATAAACCAGACACAGGACAAATAGTACGTGGTAGCACTTACATGAGGAATCTAAAATAGTCAAACTCATAGAAGCAGAAAGTAGAATGGTGGTTGCCAAGGGCTGAGATGAGTGGAAAAGGAGGAGGTATTAGTCAGAGGGTACAAAGTTTCAGTTGTGGAAAATGAATAAGTCCTAGAGATCTACTATATAGCATAGTGCCTACAGTTAACAATACTGTATTGTATACTTAAAAGTTTGCTAAGAGGATAGATCTTACGTTAAGTGTTCTTATCACAAAATAATAAGAATTAAAGAAGGCAGGAAGAAACTTTTGGAGGTGATGGATATGTTTATGGCATAGATTGTGGTGATGGTTTTCCAGGTGTATACTTATCTTCAAACTCAACTTGATATCAAGTGGTATACATTAAATATGTATAGCTTTTTATATGTTGATAATACTTCAATAAAGTGGTTTTCAAAAAAAATGACTCCCCTAGGGAAATGTAACTACTTAGGGCCAGAGATGAAAATAGATCTCAAGTCTCTCCACTCCAAGTCTAGTGCTTTTTTCTTTATTAGAACTATATTTAAAAGTAAATGTTGATAATAACTATCTTTGCAGTAAGTATCAGACTTTACATATTAATATGTGTGAGAGTTTGTGAGCATTTGAATGTATATGGATGTCTGACACTTTAATTCCATTTTGACATTCCATATTTATAATGATTTTATGGAAAAGGTATGAAAAAGGTCAGCAAAAATGATGTGGCCAAATGAATTTAAAAATCAGAAAGTTATAAAAATCTAAATTTCCAAAGCTTTAAGGATGGTGTGGTAGCAGCATATTGTTCTAAATAGATTCAGGCACCGGTAATGCGAAATAAACTTTAGAAACATGTTTGGATATTCTGTAAGTGTTTATAAAATCAGATAGGATGTAGATTTACTTTAAGAAATGGACTATGGAATAATTGACATATTTGGGAGAACATGGAAATCATTATTTAGTTTTCTCCAGAAGTGGTCACCTTCAGAAGTCATATTTACTGTTCATGTTTTGGAAGCTCATCAACCTCAGATTTTTAAAAAATCATCCCGGGGCCGGCCTTATGGCTTAGCGGTTAAGTGCGCGCGCTCCGCTGCTGGAGGCCCGGGTTCGGATCCCGGGCGCGCACCGACGCACCGCTTCTCCAGCCATGCTGAGGCTACGTCCCATATACAGCAACTAGAAGGATGTGCAGCTATGACATACAACTATCTACTGGGGCTTTGGGGGAAAAAATAAATAAATAAATAAAATTATAAAAAAAAAAAAATCATCCCGACCTATCTTACATCGTGGCTGAAATACAAGAAGGAGCACTTGCTGGTCCGTTACAAGTGCGGTCTGTGTATTTGAAAAGCATGACTTTACTTCTTTGGAAAGAATTAAAAGTTAACAGAAAAGGCAGCCTTCTGCCCTCTTTACCTTTCAGAAGTTTACAGTGAAGTGGAATTTACTTTATTCTTTGGCTTAGAAACCACATGTTTTCTTAGTAGCAGAACACATTATGCCTCTGATTAAGATCAGCCGTTGTTCGTTATGGTTAGCATGAGCTGGAGCATCCTGGTAATTGCAATGTGGTTCAGAAAAATTCACAAAGAACACAGTTAGTTTAATAATTTTGCTTTGAAGGGAAGAAACTTAAATGTGCTCAGCATTGCACAAGCCTTCCAGATTTAGTGGTAATCACCAGGATGGCAAGGTCTCGGCCAAATGGGAAAATACAAGATGTTGGTTCAGGGCTTTCCACTCTGTTTTTCCTTTGCTTCATTCCTTTCAGTATGTGCACCCACCCTTTTAATTGCTGTTCCAGCAACCGTTCTTGGGGGCATCAGTGACTTTAGTGGGCCTGTCTTCTCAAAGTAGATTTTCATGAGGCAGATGCCTTGCTAGCGAATCCTCAACCCAGTATACATCAAAACGTGTTGGCTTCATGCCTTTTCCCGAGAGAACCCTGCTTCGTGCCAGGTAAGGTTTATAGTGGGCTCAGGTGATTGATTCCCTCTTTCCAGTGTATGTAGGCTTTAAATAAAGCCCATTCAAGCTTGGGGTAAAAAAGGCTTTTTAAAGGTTCTATCACATTTTCTCTTACAGATTTTAATATAATATTTATTTTCCATTGTTTATAACATCTTTTGAAGTTGAATTTCCTCTTTGCCAAGCTTGTCATTTCTTTGGCTCACCTCATTTCCACCCCTCTACCTTTCATGACTGAAAGCCCTCCAGCTAATGGGCACTGTATAACTTCATTCCCTAAGATGACCAAACACTGACTCCATTTATGTAAAAAAAAAATGGCTGTCAGGGATACTTGGCACTCTGATAGTGACTTTGGCTTCGACATCAAAAAAGAGTTAGGTGAAAAGAGCATTCATGAAATAATGCAAATATGAGACAACAATCTCCAGGAAAATATCTTTTACAGAGGAAAAAATCATAAGTACAAAATAGAGAAGTCAGGCCAGCTACTCTTCAAATAAATAGAATAATGGTTATAATGATAAGAATGACTATTATGAATAGCAAACATTTCTCAGTTTACTAAATTTTATTATAATTGGAGCTTTTTCATGGAGAAGAGATGTTTCTCTCACTTTGATGATCTTTGAGTTCATCAGGTGTTTCTGCAGAG